GGGCCGGGCGCTGCGGGAGAGGGAGAGCGGGGCAGCCCCGGGCGGCGGGACGGGCCGTGCGGGAGAGGGAGAGCGGGGCAGCCCCGGGCGGGGGGACGGGCGGTGCGGGAGAGGGGGAGCGGGGCAGCCCCGGGCGGGGGGACGGGCGGTGCGGGCTCCTGCCGCCGCCGGGTGCGGGCTCCGGGCGCCAAATGGGGCCCCCCCGGCCCCCGCGCTCAGCGGGACGTTCAGTGCACGCCGGAGGTTAAATAAGCCACACGGACAAACGGCCAACAAACGCTGAAATTAAGGCGTGAAGCTGCTTAAATTGCTCCCCGAATTGCAGCACAATTGCAGGCACCAGCGGTTTCACAGCTGGTCACACACTGGCAGCGGGGAAGCCCAGCTGTGCGTGCAGCACCAGCTCTGGGCACAAGCGGGTTACTCAGAGTGATAAACCCATGGTAAAATAAAGCCTTTTACTCAAACATTAACCAAAGCCAGGAGGGGAAGCTTTAGAGTGAAATCTCCCTGTGTGGAAGTTACCACGTGTAGATGGTTTTTGCTGACTGCACTTGAGTTGCAGCTGCTTCAGCGAGATTCTTCGGAAAAAATGGCCATGATTTTTTTAAAAAATACTTAACATAACATGCTAAAGTTAACAGTGCAATTTTCAAGGCTAAGGCAGACTTCTTAAATTCAAACCTGAGAGTTGAACAGTTAATCAAACCCTCAATTTTTCACCTTAATCGATTCATTAATTCTGAAGCAACCGCTGGGCTCCTGAGCCAAGGTTCTGCCTCTTACTTCTGGATCCGATTTCTAATTTTCAGACCAGCAGAATCTGGTGCTGCTACAGAGGCTGCTCCTTGGCCCTCAGGAAGAGAAAAGACAAAGTATTGTGCATCCTCACCCGGGGTGCCAGCAGCCCAGAAGTGCTCCTCAAGTGCTCCACAGCCCTGACAGAGGATCTAAAGGTGTGATGTGAGAACATGTGAACCTGGATGTCTTCATGACTTTCTTAAGAGTCTGCTACAGCCAATGCACGGGGGCTTTAACAGCTACACGACCAGCCAGATGAAACAACAGCTTCCTTTGGGATTTAAGCTCATTAGTGCTGTCCCTGCTCAAAGCGTGGAGTGTTGCATCAGCTTTTTGAAATGCTTCAGTTATTAATGTTAGTTAGTATGCTGTAATAATTTTAAAATCAATTTTCATAAAGCCAGCGATGCCATATTGGCAGGGCCTGAGGAATCAATTCACTCTGCACAGTAAACATTGATCTTGTTCAAACAAGCCCTGAAGCCATTTGTGGTCCCACAGAACGACTGAGATCCAAATGGCCAGGGCAGGGGCATCAAGATCACCTGGGTAAAAGTTTTGGGGTCGAGTGGAGACAACACAGCAACTCTGACGTGCAGGCACTCAGGGAATGCATCTTAGAAGAAATTGTGATTCCTGGCAAGCTTCTGTGAAGCACTCTGATACAGATACCGTGTCATTAGCGAACACAGAGATACTTAAGCTCTCAGTCTTTTTGAAAAATTGTAATCAGAATCGCCCTTTGAAAAGAACAAATACCTTCGAATTTTAATCACAACAGCTTTAGAAATGCATCTGCACTTTTCAAATAATAAATGAAAGAAATTCAACTGCTGCTGTTATTTCTTTACACAGGATGTTCCAGTCGCTTTACTGTAACATACTGTAATTTCCTTTGATGAAATGACTTCAGCAGTAAAATCACCACGTTATGCTTTCCTGCTAAATACCAGCCATTGGCCAAATCCATCAAAATGCAGCCTGAGAAGAGCGAAACTTTAAAATCTGGGCCAAATACACTGGTGAGCTAAATGTAAAATATGTGTCAGGACCACACTAAGGCTCGTGCCCGTTCAGGTGCAGAACCAATGCAGCTCACTTGAGGAGCAGCCACAGTTCTCTGGGGGAAAAGAAAGGCAGCATCTATCAAAGGGAGGAGGATGAAGCATGTTCCACTTTTAACAGATGCCCACATAACCCTCAATATAGCTGGGGGAAAATATAGCCCGAGCTTTAAGTGTATGTTCATACAGTGACAGCCCAGCTACGCACAGACCCGACACACTGACGTGACATCACTCACGGGTTTGAGGTCACTCCTTACGACAAAGGGCTAAATTAGCATTCAAGCTTTCAGGAGATCATGGGACAACTGACTTCATCAAATTCAGTGGGCGCTAAAAAAAGGTAGGTGTGTTGAAAGCAGCAGCGAGGGATGTTAGCAGGGAAGGGAGCACTGAGTGGTGCTGTAGTAGCAGCGTGTGTGCGTCTCACCCCCCGCCCGCAGCGCCAACACGCGCCATAAATACCAACCCAGTCGCCCACAGAACGAGGGATGTAGAAGCTGTTTATCAGCATTTAGCAACACAGTGCAGAACCCCAAGGCACTCAGAGAAGTAGCAGTAATTTCCAGCAGGAATTGAAGGAGTAATTCCAGGAAGAAAAAAATATCCAGGTTGGATTTTGGATAGAAGATTTCAGCTAAAGAGTGACATGGGAACTTTCATCGCTCTGTGTGACTTTTGCACACAATAGTTAAAATAAAAAAGGAAGAAAAAAAACCCCAGTACTTGCAGTTCTAGGCTTGTGCTTTGATTCAGAAATGACTTCAAGGTGCCACCTAAGGATCCTTCAGCCACATACCCTGTACCATTCAGTGCTCCTCAGCAGTCTCGGATCTAAATGCCGAGCCAACGTGACATTTTGCCAGGACAAAGCTCCACCAGGCCAGAGAGAAGAGAGCAGTTTCTGAGAAGGGTGGCGTAGCAAAGGAAAAAGAAATGTCTGGCCCCAGCAGATGGGTTGTGCCCAATTCTGGCTCAACATAGCAGGGCCCCTGGTTTCGCTGAGAAGCAGATGCCGTGTCCTGTGGGCAGGTGCTGGGGCTTCCAGAGAAGACTCCTGATCTGATCATCCTTATCCCCACCCAGAGCAGAGAACGGCGGCAGAGCCCTGCTAGGAATAAATTCTGGGCCCTTGCACAGTTACAGATCTTTAACCCAGACCCTTTTCTAAAAGGTCCATATCATTCCTAGAGTGGACTGGTCTTCAAATCACTCGGGCAGCTCTCGAAACTGAGTTCTCAAGGAGGGAGCTAGGCAAGAAAAAGCGTGACACTGAGCTAAAAGAGTAAATTATCCACTGATCGGGCAGCGTGAATTACACACAGCGAAAATCTCATCTGCTGAAATCACAGAATCGTACAATAATTTGGGTTGGAAGTGACCTTTAGAGGTCATCTAGTCCAACATCCCTGCCCTGGGCAGGGACACCTCCCACCACACCAGGTTGCTCCAAGCCCCCTCCAACCTGCCCTTGAACCCCTCCAGGGATGGGGCAGCCACAGCTTCTCTGGCCAACCTGGGCCAGGCTCTCACCACCCTCACACCAAACAAGTTCTTCCCCACAGCTCAGCTCCATCTCCCCTCTTGCAGGGTCAAACCCTTCCCCCTCCTCCTAGGGCTCCCCTCCCTCATCCAGAGTCCCTCCCCAGCTTTCCTGGAGCCCCTGGAGGGACTGGAAGGGGCTCCAAGGTCTCCCCAGAGCCTTCTCTTCTCCAGGCTGAACCCCCCCAACTCTCTCACCCCCCTTCCCAGCAGAGGGGCTCCAGCCCTCCCAGCATCTCCGGGGCCTCCTCTGGCCCTGCTCCAACAGGTCCAATATCTTTCTTTTGCTGAGATCTTGAGCAGTATCCAGCAGTATGTGGGAATAAGAAGCCCTAACAAATCAATCACTTTGAAGAAAAAGCAGAAAACAACAATAAATGGCAGGATCTCCCTGAGAAAAAGAGCTGCTTGCAAAAGAGCGCGAGTGCCATAAAGTGGGGTTTATTAACAAGTACAGAGCAAAGCATTATACAGATTTGCCCTTGTTCTTTTATTCAGAACTCAAGTGCATAATGTATTTTCATTTTAAAAAAAGGCAAAGGGGAAGAATATCTTTCCCAGCTGCTCAGCACATGTCCACAGGCACGGTGTGAGGCAAACAATTCAAATAGAAGACAGGAGAGAACATTTTTTTCCCCTCATGTAACATACAGAGTGTGGGCACAGCTTCTGCAAATAAAACTGTGTGCTCCTTCTGTCAAACACCACACCCAGAGCAAATCCATTGCACTCGCTTCTAGGTTTTCAAAAACCGACAGTCAGGGTGAATCATGTTCCTCTGATTTTGATAACAAGCCTTGTGCATCAGGTATTAATTTGACCAAGAATTTATATATTCAACACTGACAAAAACCTTTAGAATTTCATGGACACTGTTGAACAAAGCAATCTGAACTCAACCAAAACCCGCTGTTTTCAGTCACCTTCTGTCAGGACCTCCTTCCTCCAAGTTCTGCCGTAGCAAAGCCTGCCTCAGCAGAACTCTTCCTCCCCATCTTTTCCCCTTCCTCCAACACTTCCAAAGTTCTTTGACTAACACTTTTATTCTCAGTCTGGTTCAAACTCTCTCGTTATTAACACTGGTGTAATTATAGCATGCTTCTTAACGTTACAGCTAAAACAAAGTTTGGCCCTGACTGGGTAGCATTATTATGACATTATTATGACATCAGAACTGTGTAACCCACATACTAATTTCATGAGTATCTTTATTCTTCCCATCTTGGAGCCACTTCAAGGCCTCCTGCTGTGATGCCATCTCTCGCACCCACCGGCCTGTGTCCCACTGCTCACTGCTGCAGGGTGGGAAACCCTCCTGCAGCGCTCAAACAGTTGGTACCTAAAGCAACGCTGGGATGCCCAGTGCAGAGAGAACTAATCAATGGAAGCTCAACCTAAGCCGTGAGTAAATTCTAATAATCTAAGCAAATCCAAATAGATTTCTAGCCAAAGAGCGTTTCACCAGCAGTTCACAATTACACAGCCCAGTGCCTGGGATTTGGGTCTCATTTTACTGCCAAGTGAACTGCAACGACGCCACACAGTTCAGCAAAGTGGCACTAAGGCACCGCCATCGGGTGCAGCCTGCGCACTCCACAGCTCTTCCATGAAAGCTGGGATCTTCTCAGCCTTCACATGCTGATTTACCTACAGTATAAATTTGTGAGCAGTGACTTATACCACAGTGACTGATTTCTGCGTTACCCCCGGCTGTAATTCCTCCCCATTCTTTCATTCAGTTCTTCAGACACACACACTCTCTGGGAGGCTGCTCGCGGGAGATGGCACGTGCACCGCACCGCAAGAGTAACAGGACTGTCATCTAAATACAGTAATCTCACTGGAAGAAAATTACATACAGGAGAGTTTGTAACAAAATAACTGCAATCGTGTCCTGAGCCAAAATGAATTAAAAAAAAAAAAAAAAAAAAAAAAAAAAAAAAAAAAAAAAAAAAAAAAAAAAAAAAAAAAAAAAAAAAAAAAAAAAAAAAAAGAAAAATAAAAAAAAATGTATATACTTGAAAACAGGGACTGACACTTGCAGCAGCACGTGTGCCCAAGGGGCAAGTGCTCAGACACGGGTGTGTAACACGTCGGGGTACAGGAAGCATGGGATTGGAACTCCTCATGCATGCACAGCTGACACCTTTCTAAACCTCATCACCATGGGCCCGCTCAGCGACAGCACTAACCTGGCAATCCCAATTCGTGTCATTTCTGGAGTTTCAGCTCAATGGCCTCAGTGGGTTTTTCCCCCACTGCCCACAGCAAAGCCCCCCCGAGCCAGCAGGGCAGGCTCCCTTCCCCCTGCACCCAGCACTCAGCACCTTCTGTACTTAATGAAACCAAGGTGTAGTTACCAGCCCGAGTACAGGCTTTTCCCCCGGCCCCACATGAAATAAAGGGAGTGAAATGATGAAAGTAGAGGGATAAACAGAGCCAGTGACAAGGGACTGTGAAGGAAAGGAACTTCTTCACATGAGAGTGTCTTCACAGTCCCACTCACGTTTTTCTCAGTTTCACAGTATTCCCAGCTCCTGCCGCTTATTTGTGGGGGACAGACCAACAGCTGCTCTTTAATAAAGGCAAGAAGATTCATGGCTCCAGCAAATTTTTTGTCTCGCCTCAGGAAAATATTAGTTTTACTAAATGTGGACATGTGGAAGGCCCAGAGAGGTGGTGGAGTCTCTGTCTCCGGAGATGTTCAAAATCCACCTGGACACGTTCCTGTGGGACCTGCTCTGGGAGGACCTGCTTTGGCAGGGGGTTGGACTGGATGATCTCCAGAGGTCACTTCCACCCCCATATCATCCTGTGATTGTGTGATTTACCTTTCCCTCAGCAGCATCACCTGCTCCATTTCCTCCACCACCCGCAGTTCCACACAAACTCTCCCGTCCATGCAGGGACCAGAGCACACCCTGATCCCTGTAGGAGACCTGGGCAGGTCATGGGGCAAAGGGCTGAACTTGCAGGCAAAACCACATCCTGCAACTAAGCCATGGCCGTGAGAAAAAAATCCTTAAATTAATATTATGCAAAATAGTATCTCTAGGGCCATAGTCTCCTCTCTTACTTTCACTGACCTCAACAAGAATTGTGTCTGAATCATGCAAATGGCATTTTATCCCTACTCTGCTCCACATTTATACAAGGATTCACAATAGCTTTTCTTTTCTTCCACGAATAATAGGGGGAAAAAATGCTGGGAAGAAAGAGATTTTTGACAGTTGAAAAGTTGCTTACAAATAAACCCGTGCGTGACCTCCAACGCACTCACACTAAACCCTTACCGAGAACTTCCCGATGTCACCTGCGTACGTAAACTGCGGTGGAACCAAACTTTGGGGTCCAGCTGGAGGGGGGTGGTGCTGCTGGGCCCAAAGACACACACACACACACGGGGGGGACCCTGCGGCCGCCCCAACCCTGGGAGCCCTTTCCTGGTGCTTCTGCCCCACAGCGCCGGCTCCGGCCTCCCCGGGCTCTGCTGAGGGGCGGCTACAGGCTCTTCTGACAGGGTGATATGGACCGATCTACCACCGTCATGGATTCTTTACACGCCATCGGTGGCTGCACGAGGAGAAAGGCAGTAAAAATAAGTACCATGGAGCAGTTTGGCAGCGCGTTAGGCCTTCACCTCCCGGGGAGCGGGCAGGGCCGGGCGGCCCACCCCCGGCAGCGCGAGGCAGAGTGGTAACGGGGAGCGCTGCCGGCTTTGGGGCCGAGAGGAGCACGGACGGAAAGGGCAGTGCTTTGCTCTGCTCCGCTCCAGACCGCAGTGACACAACGGGAGCAGCGGCCGGGACGCGCTGCCGCCGCGGTTCTAACAGGGCGGGGGAACAGCGCGGGGAAACCCGCCAGTTGTCCCCTCGCGGGGGGGTGCGCTGCCGCCGCACCGGCGGCCCTGAGGAGGGGCGGCCGAGCCCTCCTGCGAGACGAGCCCCCGAACTCGGTGAGGAGCCCCGGGCACCGCCGCCGTCCCGCCGCCCGGCCGCCATCTCGGCCCCGCCGCCATC